ACAAATGCTCGTGCACTTTGGAAGATCTTTTGGACAATTTAAAAGTCTTGGTCTCAAACAAGTGGAAAGGTATTTTGTGTCTTCCGAATGGACAACAAAATCTAATGTTGGTTCGGCCCCCAATGAGAGTCTGTGTAGAGTCTGTTTTAAAGGTAATTTTATCAAGAAAACAACCACGACCTTTTTTTTAGCATAAATATTGAACTCTGAATGCAATACGCAATATAAAAACCCAGTCTACAATATAAAGCCTCATTGCAGCTGGACTTCTTTTATTCATAGAAAATATTCAATACTTGGTCAGAATATCTTCATGATTATAAAAAGTTTAAAAAAATAAAACCTTCCACAAACGCTTAATTCTTGGTTTCCCTTACTTTCTCGACCGTTTGACCGTTTCTCGGCACTGTTTGAAATGTAGCAATTTATTATTGCTACATTATCTATACAGGAGCGAAACTGTCAGATGGTAGTAGAGTGGCGTGTGTAGATTTTAGTGGTTTGATTCTATCTCTGCGTGTGCACGGATCCGTTTGCTCCGAAGTTCATATATTTTGCGATAAACACAACTCCCGAACGCAACATAATCAACCTCCTGCAGCCCTCAGATGAATAGAGTTTGAGACCCCGGACGTAAAGCCTGTCGGAGCTATAGCTGTGCTTGGATGATCTGACAGGTTGTACAAAAATACATACAAAGGTACTGACGTGCAATCTTTGGCGAATGTAAATTGGGGCCGGTTCTTAGGTTCACGTCGCGATCCAAGAGACGTCTGGTTCGTTGAGGCGTCAGTCGTAACACGGGCTTCAGGTTCTCAGACTGTCAACTGTGGCACTTTTCATGAAAGCACGGGAAGCTTTGAAGCGAGCCGCGGAGACTGATCAAAGACGGCGCGCTGTGACAGAGGTTCCACTGCACCACGCACAAAGTAAATAGCACATGTCAGCGGTTCACCACGAGAAAGGACGCAGCACTTTACCGTACGAGGCTTTTGTAGAGGATCGCAAAGATGCTTTCTGAGAACCGGGCGCAACCAAGGACTCTTTTTCTTTACCTACTGTACATGTTATTTCACTGCACAAGACTGTCATGACAAAGCTCATCTTGCCCAGTAAAAGAACATCTAATTCGATTCAATCCACAGGGAAAATCACAACAGCAGTTGAGCGAGGGCTTCACAACGTTGTCAATTCTTCCACAACAAGAGGGAATCAAACAGTTCAAACTGCAATAACAAACACATACTGTAGGAGCCATTGGTGCATAGGGGGTAGGATGACCATATAGGGCTACTTTCTATGATACTAATGTCCATAAATGTACATAAATATTCACAAACTAAACATCTTTAAATGCCCTGGATCAGTCATGTGTTATTTTGTTGTTGGATAAGACAAGAGTGAGTTTGTGAGTAGAGAATAGACTTTAAATCAGCTCTGCGTGTGCACAAGTCTCTCCATGGCCTCGCACCAAAGTACATCTGTGACATGTCAGACCCAAAAGCAGGTCTGCAAAAAATAATATGATTCAATAAAAAAAATATATGGCACAAGAAAATACATCCAAAAGTAAAAACCAGGGACAAGACATGGCGGAAAAACCATAATGGACCGACAACGAGAGGACAGGAGCACAGGGTCTATACCATAGACTGTATATATTAATGGACAGAGTCACGCCTATCTCCGCCGTTCTAACTAATGTCTAAAAATGTGCTCTACTGGAGCTATTCAAAATGGCCGCTAGTGGTCCCGCCCACAAGTCAATTGTGAAAAAACTCATCTGCGCGTGCGTCAGCCGGCGAGAGCTCCATTCATTTGAACGAGAGACATAAAAAATTCACAGCAAGTAAACTGGAGTGGACCAAAAAAATTCACTCCCCTCAGCATTGACACACATGAGGAACGGAGCTTTGGGCCAAGAGCCAACTTTTGGTCCATCCTGTAAAGACGTTTTTGAGAGGTCTGCCAATGCTATATGTTAGCATTGGCTAGTTCTTCTTCTGGGTCCACCCCCATCGGCCCGGGGTGGTATTGCAAGCATGTCAGCGCACGTCATTTTGGCCACTTTTGAGCTGGGACCCGCCCCCACTGGTCCATACACACAGGGAGACGCACACCAGGGCGGGGCCAACTATCAACAGGACAGACAGGAAGTAAAGGAAGCACAAATGTACAGTACAGACCAAAAGTTTGGACACACTTTCTCATTCAATGAGTGTCCTCTCTTTTCATGACTATTGACTGTAGATTCACACCAGGCTGTAAGGGCTGTTTGACCAATAAGGAGAGTGATGGTGCTGGGCCAGATGACCCGGCCTCCGCAGTCCAGACCTGTACCCAATCCAGATGGTTTTGGACCTGAACCCAATCCAGATGATTTTGGGGCTGGACCACAGAGTGAAGGCTAAAGGGCCAACAAGTGCTAAGCCTCTGTGGGAACTCAGACCATTTCAGGTTCTCTTGAAGCTCATCGAGAGAATGCCAAGAGTGTGTGAAGCAGAGCAAGAGGTGCTACTTTGAAGAACCTAGATTTCACATGAGTTAATTAATAGTTTTGATGCCTTCAGTGTGAATCTACAATTTTCATAAACATTAAAATAAAAAAACTCTTAGAATGAGAAAGTGTGTCCAAACTTTTGGTCTGCACTGTACATACAAATACAGGGACTGGCCTCCTGCTGGGACTCTGAGGAGCACAGGGACTGGTCTCCTGCTGGGACTCTGAGGAGCACAGGGACTGGTCTCCTGCTGGGACTTTGAGGAGCACAGGGACTGGTCCTGCTGAAGCCCAGAGTCAGAACTAAACATGGGGGGGGCAGCATTTCTGATTCATGCATCTAAAATCTGGAACAATCTTCCTGAAAATGTGAGACAGGTTTCTTCTGTGACAATGTTCAAATCCAGGTTAAAACAGTTCAGTTCAGCTGCGCACAACTGAAGGACTGTAATAGTATCTTCACTCTTTTTAATATACTGTGATTATCTATGATTTTAATTACTTGTCTAGTTTCCGACAGCACCAGGTATATATTTGTTACTTACAAAGCAGCGTGTTCAAGCCCCCAATGCAGACAGAGTAATAGAACCCCAGTTACCTAATGTAACTAAGGTTCTATGAATATTTTGCGAAGCCCTTTAGCCCTTTTACATCAGAGACACACACACCAAAATATCCTGCACCATTTTTTACTACAATACTTTAGTACATCCATCACATGTATTTGTACAGCACAAGTGTGATTCAAAAAGGCTCACAAAAGAGTAAAAGCATAGACTGGATGTAAACAGTTTGTAAAATGAATATGTGTCAAAGTATCTGTTTTTCCATCACCTCCTCTTTCACATCAATTTGCAGAGAATTATGTGAAGTGCAAACATTAGTGTCAATCACAGCGGAAATCGTGCTTTTAATCGGCTTTGTAAAAACACTTTTGTTCATGGCTTATTATATCATGTAAAGGCAAGGACAGTGTTTTTGTATCGTGCAGTTCATACACACGGAAACTCAAAGTGCTCAACAAAACAATACCAGCTGGATTACAGACGTATTTGTTAGTTTTGAACAAGATTTGAATGTATAATGTGTCGTCTGTGTCGTAAAAATGAATGCTTTTTGCTTCTGTTCGCAATGTGTGGCTTATCTGCCTTTAACGCAATATCACAAGATCATTTAAAAATATTGAAAATTAAGAAATAAAAATCAATATTGAAGAAAAAATCTAAATGAAATTAGGATATTACATACAAACACAAGTGCTTTATTCAATATGTTCAATACAAATATTAATACCTCTCAAAATATATCAGACGCCCATTTGCACTAGAACAGCGTCTTTGCACTGCCATAGTCCATGTTTTATTTTTACATTAGAAACCCTTCAGTGCACATAAGATTCTCTTTTTCACTTTTTAACATGTTTTCACTGTCTGTCTTTCTGCGCTCCCTCAGTGGTCTTACTGAAGATAAATGTAACACATAAATTTTGCCACAGTGAGATAAATGATGTTTTATCTTATCTTTGTTTGTCTAGTATCTACTGTTATTATTATTTGTTTTTCATTTGAATACAAATAAATAAAAAAAATAAAACAGTACATATGAATCAATGTGTCTGCAAACAGCGTCAACATAAATATGCCGGAAATAGCACAATGGGTTCTCTGCATTTCAGTTATAACGTCGCTCGACTCCCGGTGCGCAAGGGTCGGCTTGATTTTGACTGTGACTGAGATGGAGTCCACCAGATAACAAAAGTTTCCGAAATAATTCTCAAACAGGAATCAAACTTTGAGGATGCTGGGAACTCTGGGACATAGCAATTCTCTTTTACTGTGCTGTCATTGTGTGTTTGTAAAGTTAACTAATCTCTCTGAGTCGCCACAGTCAAAGCTATTCCTCGCTACAACTCACCACAAGGCCATAGCACTAGCACAGACCGGAAGTTAAAAAAAACATCATGCCTCTCCGTGCATACAGCCCATAGAAAAATTGCATCCATTGTCCAAAGGCAGGTGGAAACACACAAACACACAGTAAGGCAACAGTATACACAATAAGTCGACAAGCACAACGTCAAGAATTTATAAGAGAAGAGAAAGTCCAAGGAAAAGCAGGACCTAATCTATGGGAGCAGGTTTGATTTCAACCAAGTTTTCAGGGCTCCTTTAACGGCTCGGTCCCACGGTTACGCAAGTGTTTCATAATGTTGGCTGGATTTAGTCCTGTGCCACAGTCTTCCCTGCTTAGTGCTCTGGATGTGACTCCACACGTGTTGTTTTCTTTACATATAAAATCCATTAAGGGAGGAAGAGCAAGTCCAATTCTTTTTGATCACCATGAGAACCATGTGAGCCAAATCTTTCTGATACTTGAAAGTCCATTAGTGACGAGGGACTGAAAAGTGGATCACAATAAAGTCCTCTGTTCCTCTGCGTCCTAACCTGTGTGTGTGTGTGTGTGTGTTTAGCCGGGTGCTCCGTGAGGCGTGGTGCTGAAGATGGTCCAGGCGCAGCTGCAGGGGCCACAGTCTCGGGGCCGGGGCAAATGCCAGACCATCGTAGGAGCGGGAGTCCTATACCTGCTGCTGCTCTCCACCTGCCTGGGACAAGACTCAGAAGGTAAGGCTGCTTTGTCTCGTGTCTGACATCTAGACAAGGCAGAAAATGTACTTTAATAGTTTCCTCGACCATTTGGTGGATCACTTGGAACTGAAATCTACCTCATTGTTGCATCTTTATCACTTGGTTTGAGGCGCTTTAATCATCAAACTGCATCTTGGAAATTTGGTGAAGGCCTTTCATCAGAAAAGCTAGGGGTTAAAAAAAAAAAACCCATATAAAATAATGATTTCGTTCTTCATGATCCTACATCATCCCAAAGTAAGAAACAAAAATGACATTGCTTTCTAACTCGCAAACTAGAATGTATAATTAAAATCAATAGAATTCTGAAAACTTCTCATAAAACCTCAGTTAGTTTCCCAACAGTTTTATTAGAAATAAGGGATGTTTATGGTGGTCTTTTTGTTTTTTTAAGTAAGTAATCTTTATTTATATACCGCCTTTCACAGACCAGAGTCACAAAGCGGTTGTCCTCTCACTCCACACAGAGCGATGGGAGTAGGGTCGTCAGTACAGGAGGCACATGCCAGAACTATTGAACATATTTTTAGTGGTAGGGGAAACCGGAGTACTCAAAGGAAACCTACGCAGACACGGGGAGAACATGCAAACTCCACTCAGAAAGGCCCTGAATAATAGAGAAATGCAGTTTGGGGAAAGGTTACTAAATACTAATGCTAACAACTAAACGTGATTCAAAAAAAATATAAAAATAATGACAGAAATGATTTAAAGCTGCACTAACTGACTTTATTTTTGTATTCATTACGAAAATGCTATCCATGTCCATGTAGTGCATTGGGATATACGTCCTCTGAAGAAAAAGTAGCGCAGGTTTGTGCTGGCGTGACATTATATTTTAGATCGAGGTTTGGTGAAACAAGGAAGAGAATGTGTTTCGGGTCCAGATTGTGACCAATCACAACGGACCACTGGCCCCCACTTTCTTGAGAAAAGCCACAGGTCTCTGGTTAGCACAGACAAGCGGCGGAGGCTAACCTGAAACTTCCTGTGTCTTCGTTACCAGTTACTGCTTATACAGTGAAACAGCCATTCAAAAGAAAGTCTCTTCCAGAACTAAAAGCCGTCTTTTGACTACTCCGGGAGTTCTAATTAATCTGACAAATGTGTTTCCATTGTGCGGAGTTTGTATCACAAACCAACATTCATTCTTGAAAACAAAAGTATTTACTGTATTTCTCATTTCTTTGAATCAAAAAACTGCTCAAAAGTGATTGATTGTGTTGATTTTTCCCCCGATGTTTTTGTGATGTAGTGTTTTAGACTAAGATGAGACGAGATAATATTTTACTCATCCCACAGTTGGGAAATGTCAATGTCATCGTTGCACATTACAGCTGAATGAAAGGAGGAAATAAGAGCAAACCATTGTGCCACAAGAAAAAAAAAATTAAATAGTAAGATAAAATAACAAACAAAAAACTCCGGAGCTATCATTGACTTGGTTCAAGGATAGTTCACCGGACGACACAACGGTTTGCTCTTATGCCTCAGAGCAAGAAGGTTGTGGGTTTTAATCCACCTCCAAGCCTGTTTGTGTGGAGTTTGCATGTTTCTCCCCATGCTGCGGTTTCCTCCAGGTGCTCCGGTTTCCCTTGCCAAAACCAAAAATCTGTACAATAGGTCCGGCATGTGCCTCCTGTGTGGCCGCTCCCATCTCTGTGGAGTGAGAGACAAATGCCCACAACGATAGTAAAGCCCTGTAAAAGGCGCTATATAAATAAATATTACTTACTTAATAGTTTATATTGTACTTTAGCAGCAGAGAATGACGGGACTAAACAGTAGTATTAAATTAAACTCTTGAACTCCAGTATAATATCATAATCAGGTCGTTAGATAAAGAATCATTTCCAGTTTTTGCCAGAGCCTAGCTGCACGCATGAGGCCAAAGTGATTTCCAAATTATTTCCTACGACAAGGACAATAAATGGGTAAAAAATAACACTTTCTGGAAGCTGAGACGTGTTGACTTACGGGTGACGAGAGCAGAATGAAGCAATCTTCACCCGGGATGAAGCCATCACCAGTGGGAGTGCTCAGACTATCGCTCAGACTATCGCTCTCTTGACTTTCTGCTCAATTTGTCAGAATATTAATACTCCATTTAACTCTTAGTCCTTGAGATTTATCTGCTTGGCATTTAGCTGACAAGGGCCGCAGACGAGGGCGACACCCACCGCATCTCCAGGATTTTGTGTTTTTACCTGGTCGTTTCTGCTTAAAGCTGGGGGACCTGACTTCCAAAACAGCCTGGTTCCATGGCTAGTTTTAACATGTGTCTATATATACTGTATCAACCTTGTTTGCAAATGTTTTACTTTTACAAGACTCTTCAAACTTCAAATGCACTCACGACACAGAAACGGACACCTCTGTACACTTTCTTGACCAGGACAGTAATAAGTAGAAGTAGTAAGTTATTTGTATAGCACATTCTTACAGACCGAGGTCACCCAAAGCGCTTTACAATGTTAAGAGTTCAGATATTTTTCCGTTCTCTCCACAAACTGCCGCATCCGACCTGTTGTACATGTTTTTAGTGGTAGGGGAAACCGGAGCACCCTGAGGAAACCTACGCAGACACGAGGAGAACATGCAAACTCCACTCAGAAAGGCCCTGTTCCGACCTTAATTCAAACCCAGAACCTTCTTGCTGTTCTTGAGTTCTTATCACCATGCTGCGTCTAGAAGTAGTAGTAGTGCGTGGGTTTCCTCCAGGTGCTCCGGTTTTCCCTATCACTAATAACAACAGATGAGCCCTCACATGGAGCTAGTTTCGGTCTATTTAGTTGCTATTTATTAAAATATTGTTCCTTTCAAAATATTATTGCAGTGGAAATAAGTGTTTTTAACAAGATAAAGAAGTTTACAATCTCCAACTTTAGTGCGATGAAGAAGCAAGACTTAAGTAGAAAATATAAATCATAGTGATCATTAACTTTAAAATACATAATTTACCACATCATAAATTGACACATGTTTATAGAATGAGGCAAAAACCAGAATTCTCTATTTCTGAATATTCAATAAAACTTAAAACGTTCCCCCTGAATTTCAACACGTAATTTAAGCAAACCATCGAGCCTAAGCGTGTAAGCCTCTCTATATATATTTGACATTTTTAATAATAAAATCCCTCGACCTCTCGCGTCATAATAAAGTCAGTCTGGCTTTAGAATACCATACTTTGATTTCCTCCTCCGTGTTCTTATCCTAATGAGCTGGACCCACATCTCCAGCTGTTTGGGTGCTAACAATGACAGGAGCCTTAGTCTGTTTTTTTTAATTAGCCCGCAAGATCGGCGTTAATCCAGGAATAGTCTTTGCCACGCTCCGGCTTCGCTGTTTGCTAACATGGTTTTGACACGTGGGGAATGGCAACCTGTGTTCGAGAAACTTTTACTGCTGAAAAACTTGTATCGCTGTGTGAAGGAGAGAGTCTGCGGGTCTGTCCTTCCTACTGCTGTCAGACTGTACAATGAGAACGGCTGAGTCAGAATGTCCACTGAATGTCACTTTATCTACGTATTATTGTAAAAGTTTCTGTCCCATTTGCTTAGGCCAAGTTAGAACACCAGATTGATGTTACCAGTCCCTGCTGCTCTTGTGGCTACAGTTTTGGTCTCTGCTCTCGTGGTATGAATGTATGTCTTCCATCAGTGAAGAGATTCTGACAGACTTTTGGTCATAATTAGAAGAAATGTCTTAAAGCTGGGGTATCTAACTTTCAAAACAAGTAAATGAGCTTTGTGTTTAAATGGCACTGCCACAAGTTTAGATCACCTTGTTGGACAGAAATGTGAAAAGAGGGTGCCAGTCCATCTCAGCCAATCAACTCTCAGCCAATCAGCTCTCAGCCAATCAGCTTTCAGCCAATCAGCTCTCAGCCAATCAACTTTCAGCCCTAAACATCAAATATATTCCAATGATTTGAAAACAATTCTAATAAGATAAGATATTTTATATTTAAGACATAGTTTTACATTTATTTTGTTTGTGTTCTGTGTTCTGATCTTTTACTTCTAAAACTCGGTCTTTTGGGACAAACATGGATCATTGATGAAAGAAAACAGATTTTATGTTTTCAGTGATGTTAGGTTTAAGCAGAAATATTTTCCCTTGACATGTGTTTATTTCACTTGGTATGTGTCTCTGTGTGCGTGTCTGTATCAATTTGTGTGTGTGTGTGTATCTGTGTGTGCGTGTCAGTATCAATTTGTGTGTGTGTGTGCGTATCTGTGTGTGCGTGTCAGTATCAATGTGTGTGTTTGTCTGTATCTGCGTATCTGTGTGTGCCTGTCTGTATCTGTGTGTGTCTATGTCTGTATTTTTGTGTGTGTGTGTGTCTATGTCTGTATCTGCGTGTGTGTGTGTGTGTGTCTATGTGTGTGTCTACTAACAAACATAAACTACACCAGAATCTCCATCTGTAGACCCACACTCACAAAAACACACACTCATTCAACCCTCGCCTATGAGTGGCAGGGGAAACCATAGCACCTAGAGAAATCCTTTACAGACACGAGGAGAACATGCAAACTCTGCTGTCTGGAGGTGGAACCGAATCCCAGGACGGCCTTACTGTAAAACTCTTACCAGTCGTACTCTTGAAAACCAATTTGGAAACACAACTTCTTGAACGCAATCTCTTTCTTGTTGGTTGTCGCAATAAAAGCGTTAATTAGACGTTAAAAAAATATATATTGCGAAAAGCTTGTGTACTGTGAAAATCTGGAGGTGGTGAGTGAAAAATAAATTGTCCGGTATCTCTCCGTCTCCTTTACACTGATTACAAATTCATGAAGAAGTGGTGTGGGCGGCGTATTACTGGTACGATTAATTCAATGTGACTCGTGCTCAGCTCAGAGGAGAACACAGGGCTTAGGTTGCACTGCACAAAGCCTAGAGGTGGATTATGTTTTTTTAATTAACATTTCTTAGAAGTTACCTTTGAAAACATCCGTAGCTGTAGT